AAGCAAAGTGTTATTGTTGCTCCATCCTCCCACCCACATTCTTGAGTACTGCTGCAAAACTTGGAAGAAAAAACTGAATCTGCTTCTATTTTGAAACACCCAGGGCTGTTCAGTTTCTCTCTCATTTTTTTTGTGTTAATAGTTGGTCCACGTTCACGTAGCATGAGAATTCATTTTCATACACAGTACGAGAGAAGCAAAGTGTTATTGCTGCTCCATCCTCCCACCCACATTCTTGAGCATTGCTGCAAAAATAGCAAGAAAAAAAAACTGAATCTGCTTCTATTTTGAAACACCCATGTCTGTTCAGTTTCTCTCTCATTTAATTAAGGGTCATCTAATTATCTAGAACAAAAGGTGGTGGATTGCATTAAGAGCAGAAATGTCAAGAAACTGGATTGTGATGCAGAAAAACAGAATCGTGTCACTAGACATTCACCATTTGATAAAACTCATCGATCACATGTTCTTAAATATATTCAGATTTTTAGGAGAAGAATATTTCTGTGGCCCCAAAAAGGATCAGTTTTCAATCATTATATTAATGTTTACACAGCAGTCATATGATGTAGATTTATTTTATTTAATTATCTAGAACAAAAGGTGGTGGATTGCATTAAGAGCAGAAATGTCAAGAAACTGGATTGTGATGCAGAAAAACAGAATCGTGTCACTAGACATTCACCATTTGATAAAACTCATCGATCAGGTCTACTCTAGATCCAACCAGATATTGAATCATAGAATCATAGAAAAGTGAAGTTGGAAGGGGCCTACAAGGCCATCAAGTCCAACTCCCTGCTCAATGTAGATCTAGCTATCAATAAGTAATTACAATTATAACATAAATGCCGAAAGTTGTCGCTCAATGTTATAGTTACTTTTATATCAAAGTAACATGTTATGTTTCTCAAGAGTAACTAAATTTGTTCCTTTTAGTTGCATTAAAAATATATGGGTGCTACAAGGTACAGTGGTGCCTTGCTTAATGATTGCCTCGCTTAATGAGGAAATCGCTTGACCATTAGGTTTTTGCGATCACAAAAGTGATCACAAAATGATGGGAAAAATCTGCTTCACGATGATCGGTTCCCTGCCCCGGGAACCAATTTTCACATTACGACGATCTAAAAACAGCTGATTGTCGGGTTTCAAAATGGCCACCGGGGGTACAAAATGCCCCCCCGCTGTTTTCTAGGACAGATTGCTCACTTTACAGGCAGAGAAAATAGCTGCCCCTATGGAGGAACTTCACTGGACAGTGAGTTTTCAGCCCGTTGGAATGCATTGAAGGGTTTTCAATGCGTTTCAATGGGCTTTTTTATTTCTCTTAATGAGGATTTCATTCTACAGCGATTTTGCTGTGTGTCTGTGTGTGCCTTCTTTCACAAAGGGAAAAGACACTAATTTTGTGCAGACAGTTTGTGCATGCTATGGACACTCTGCTGGGAAAAAGTAACATTCTTCCTGTCATGCTTATCTGCAGAGGAGGAATCTCATAGGGTTTCAAAAATTCCTCAGGGAAGCTTCTCATCATCTTTTAGACACGTTAAATCTATGAGAATAAAGAATTCGGTGAGTTTTTGGATCCCGAGGAAGGAATAAGGAAGACAAATATACAAAAGTCAATCAGGTGGTTAATTTTTTTGTCTAGTTTAACCCTCAAACTATCCCTATGGCCATTGAGAAGGAATTAGTGATTTCCCATAGCAATGGAGTTATCACAGATTTTAGTATAACTCATATCCGCTCTGTCAATATTGTTCCCTTTGTTCTCTCTGCTTTACAACTGCTTTTTCCCTATTTAATTTTAATTTAATAATCTTAGAACTGCAGAGCTGAAAGGAATCCTATGGATTGACTCCAGCGCCTGTCAAGGAGGCAGAGTGCGGAATTGAACTCTCAGCCTCTGGCACTGCAGCCTTTCTCTTCTGCTGGGGTCATCCTAGGACTGTGCGGCTTGCCCAAAGCCAGACAGGCTGGTTCTTCTCCCAAGAGGCACAGTGGGGAATCAAACTCTCAACGTCTGGCTCCACAGACAGATACCTAAACCCCTAAGCTATACAGCAGTTGGGTACTATGTATACTTTGCACTCCTATGACTAGAATACCATTGGAGAATTATAGGTCTCATATAAATGTGTGCAAGTGTGTGCGTGTGTGTGTGTGTATGTGTGTACACACACACACACAGAGGGAGGAAGGGAGGGAGGGAGGGAGGGAGAGAAAAGAAAACACTCTAATATTTTTGTTCTTTTTTGCACTGCCTACTTTGTTGACCTGCAGTGTTAGGTTTGATATAAAAATAAATGTGTTTCTTCATTTGAAGCTAGATCAAGAATCCCAGCTCAAGGAAATCTAAGCGCAGGAACAGGAGAAGAGCCCACATCCATTGCCGTGGGATGTGACAGCTTTGTTTGGCTTTTTTTATAATGACAATATTGCATCTGTTGTTTTATTGAAGCTGTGGCCAACGTGTGGCAGCCAAGCCACTCTAAGCCAGTACTAACCCTTCTTGACAACATGGTAACCAAACAAGAGGGGCAGTTCCAACCTCCTTTTCTGTCGCTACTAAATCGGAGCAACGGCAGGCAGTGGGACCGCACCAGGGAGAGGGCATGCATTCATGTTCCCGTTTTGGGGAGAGGTTGTAGCCGCCACCTGGACGAGTGTTCCCGTGAACCTCCTGGAAGTCAGTGACAGTGGTTTCGGAAGAGATGCTGAATCTACTCAGATTTTAGTCCGAACATGATGGGCTCTTTCCATGCTGCTGCAACTATTTTTGAGGAAAGCATTCAGCACCTGTAAAGTTTGGATTCGGTGCACCTTTTTTGAGGAAAGCATTCAGCACCTGTAAAATTTGGATTCAGTGAAATCAGTCAGGCACTGCACAGGGCTGACATAAGACATACGTACTGCGTTAAAGGAGACAGTGGAACCCTTCTCAGACCCAGGATGGAAAAGGTCTAGATGCAAAACCTTAACAGGGGTGGCAGCAGAACGTTTCTTCAATACCACTAATGGGGATGGTGGTGGCCAAAACCTTGTGTGGACTTTTCACTCATGCAAAACGAATCACAAAATTTGCTGTAGCTAATTGGTGTGGGGTGCATGGCAGATGGCTGGCACATGGTCAAGAGAACAATTGGCTGTGTGACCAACGTGCACCCACCATCTTGTCAGTTAGCTACAGCAACCTCTACTTCTTTCTTATGTACCCCAGTGGAATTCTAGCAAGTGTCTCCAACTGGACCTGAAGGCTACAGGTTTGGACAGTGGTTCCCCACCTTGCGTAACCCAGGTTTTCTTGGGCTGCAACTCCCAGCTAGTGCTGAAGGCTTCTGGGAACTGCAGTCCAAGAGCACCTGGCTTACCCAAGGTGGGGAACTACTGGGTTAGGACATGCAAAGCAGGCCACACGGCATGTACTACTTTTCCCACTCTTTGCGGCCATCTTGAAGCATCTGCAGCCTGAGGTGATTGCTTTCCTTAGCAGACCTCACCTCTCAAGACTGAGTTTCTAAATGGAAATAGTAAATATATTGAACACCATCATTGCGCCATCCCCAAAGCCTGACTCTTTTGCTAGGGAGAGGATGGTCAGCAGCAGCTTTTTTTGGGGGGGGGGTTTGTCACCAATGCTGGTGGAGTGTTGTTTTCTTTCAAGAGACAAGCGCTGTAAACACAAGCGCCAAGCGAAGTGGGAATGGCCACCGTCACCTTCATTGCTCTGACTCATAAGGACAGACACACACACATCTGGTCAGTATCCACAGTGTCCTATCCTTTAACTGCCGGGCCCCTCAAATTCACAGCAAACAAAATAATAACTGATGCTGGCATTTCACCACAGCCGTTGTCCTGTCATACTCGGGTTTGAGTCCGACATGAGCCCGAGGGACGGCATATTCTTGCCATTTATTCACGGAACTTTCCAAAAAAAACAAAACAAACCAACAACAACAAAACAAAACAACCCACACAGCCAGCTAAATAAGTGTTTATTTCTGTCTATAGGGATGATCATTAATGCTGACATTTCAAAAACAGCTGAGGAAAGCATTATGTGAAAACACACGTTCCGGCTGCAGCAGGCAGAGCTTGGAAAAGTTATTATTATTAAAATATTTTAGCCTGCAGCTTGGCTACTCACCACGCTGGCTGGCAGTGTCAGGCGTGCTATTCTCAAAATAAAGGACAAAAGAACAAAAAGGTGGATTTGGAAAAAAAACCTCTGGGCTTTTCAGGTTAAAAGATTGGATAATAGAAGAGGGAAGCTTGTCTCAAAACTCTGGAGAGGTTCCTATGGCCTGTCTTCAGTTAGGGGTGGGGTGGGGAAGGCCCTACCTAGTGACACAACATCTGCCTAGTATGTCACAGCTTCAGTCCCTGCTGGTCCATGAGAAACATGTGGCTCAGAAGGTTGGACTCCAGTTCCCATCGGCCCCAGACCACCTGGTCAACGCTGAAGGGTAATGAGAGCTACCCCCTTACATCAGCTGCAGGATTCCACCCTGACACAAGGTATGAGAAACCCTGGCCTGAAATCAGAGCTTAGAAAAGTTACTTTTCTTGGACTACAACTTCCAAAGTTCCTCCGAGGCAGCCTCCATTTGTGCCGCCTTAAGAATCCGGAGAAAACGTGAGGGCAAATCTTGCCTTGCTGCTGCCATCTGCCCCCCCCGGGGGGGGGTCAAATCAATGCACCTTTTCCTCACCAACGGGTGGCTGCTGCAACCCTGGATCCCGATTGCGTCCCACAGGGCTGGGATCAAAGGCGAAGCATCCTCTTAGCTGTCTAAGCTGGAGCAAGCTTAACCCTTTCCAGCCCGAAGCGTGGTTTGTTGTTGCACTCTCTCGCTCTTACTCTCGCTCTCTTTTTCCTTCTGCAGCTGAACAAATGGAGACGGGTTTTTGCGAGCTCGGACGCAACACGTGCAACCCAGGGAGGAGTGCATGGTGTGTGCGTCAGGAACAAGAGGAGGAGTAAAAAAAAACCCCACACACAAATACACACACACCCCCAAGAGGTTAATTATATAGAACGATATAGAAATGCTGATCTGTTTACCGCCCTCCTATGCCAAGCTCGCTTTAATTTTCACTCTCCCCAGCGCCACGCGGACGGATGGCAACATTCCCGCAAGGTGAAGGCGTGAACGTGGGAATGCCCACCACCTTCTCCTCCTTTTCCTTCCCCTTCGTCAGAGTGTAACCGACCCCGCTAAGGCAAGGAAGGGTTTTGATTGTCCCTTCTGTGGGCAGCTCCGTCCTCCTCCCGCTGCGGAGGAAACACGGGTGGGCACCCCCTTTCTTCCCCTTCCCTGACAGCGGGGATCGGGGGGAGGGGAAGGGAGCAGAAGGCGATCTGGGCCATCGATCGGCGGAGGCGCGTTCTTTTCCCCTTCTCCTCCCCGAGGCACGGGAAGTGGGGCATGACCCCCGTCTCCCTCGCCGTGTTTGGGAATGGATTTCCAGACTGCCCGGTTCCTGTGTTGCTGGTGCTTCTGGCCGCTCCTCATCGGTCTTCCTCTCACCCAAGGTAAGGCGATCCCGCGGTGATTGCGCGCCCGTCCATTGTCCTTCCCCCCTCCCTTTTTTGTGCGCTTTGTCCCAGTTTGTGTCTGGTGCGTTTCTTCTAATTTCTGACATTTTCCCGAGGCGAGCCGCTGAGCGAACCCCTGCTCCCCCCCCCCCGCAATTGCAGCGAAACCCACCACGAATCTTGTGCCCCGAATAAAGCCATCTTCGTCTTGGCGACGAAGAGTCTTGTGACACTTTGAAGGCGGCCAAGTTGGAGGCGGCAGAAGCTTTGCTATTCGCTCGAACCTGTTGGCCTCCGAGGGTATCACCGGGGGGGGGCGGTCTGTCAGAAATGGGGCGCAGAGATCCAGCGGCAAGCTAAACAGGTCTACTCTTAAGTAAGTCCCTTGGATTTCCCTCTGCACTCCCAAGTAAGAAGGCACCCTACACGAACTGGATTTCCCGACTGACTTTCACTAGCGCGTGGCTTTGTGCCCTTTTGCGTATTTTTGAACAAATGTGTGTCGTGTTGGGATACGAATTGTGTTGCTTTTGTGCTCCCATTCAGTATGAAAAAGTGTGTGAGGAGTAACAGTGGACGCCTATTGATGCTACAGAGGAATTGGACGTAAAGGAGAGCAGATAAACCTTGCAGGCAGTGAAACATTTATCGGTCTGGCTAGCGAGCTCTCGCGTAGGAACGGAGAAGCAAGCAAAGGAAACAGATCTGCATTCATTTCATTTTCAGCCTCTAGTCAAACAGGGAAGAAAATAGATTTCTTGGACCTGAATTTTACCCAGTCCTATTAAACATATATGACTTATACGCGTAATATACCTTAGTAAATAACCACCTAAATGTTTATATCTATTTTTAAACTTTTTTGTTGCAGTTGTGGGGAGAGTTATGAATTTCGTGTGTTAGCATGCAACTCAAAATTGCAGTCCTCTACACAGGTAACCAGGAGGTTTAACTTTGGGATAAACTGGAACAGGATTATACTGCAAAACGGACAACCATGATAAACCCTTGTCAAAGCAAGAGTATATATCACATTAAAGCAGTGCTGGTGAACATCTCTAAAAAACTATGAAAAAAACAAACAAACAATGGACTCTTACCATGGCCTCTGAGGTGTCCTTCTCAAAGTTAGCTAATTTATATTTGGTAGATGAGGTGGAAAGTCCCTGAAGCATCTCTTCTCATCCTTAGCAAATTAAATAACAAAGTAACTTCACAATTTGATGCCTCTTTATGATGCCTGAAATTTGTCACCTCAGGGCTCATGTTGCCAAGTTAGTAGGACTGACCCTGTTTCACCCACTCTGCCTATTGATTAGTGTTCTTCATCTGCTCAGATTTGGTTGGGAGAAAAGTCAGAGTCCACTGGAGTTATTATTTTTAAGCTTCTAAAAGGCCAGTTGATAATATTCACTTGGTCTAATCCCGTGAAACACTCAGATATAGGTTGAACACTTTTTTGAATGTATGCTGTGGAGAAGTTTGTAAATTTTTTGAAGTTTGTAAGCACATATTATCTTACTGAAATCAATGCTGATTGTTTACTGTTTACTTACAGAATGCAATCCTGTACACACAGATTTGTGGAATTAGAGCTGATCAACAAGAGGACTTGTTTCTGAGTGGATAGAAATTGGATTATACTGTCAGATTTTCTTCTATCATAGGCTGTAAAGAAAAAGAAAATCAAAAAAATCAAAAAAGTAACATCCGTTTTGTTAGAGGTGTATCATTTTACACTTGAAATCATTGTGTATGTGGTGAGCCAGGTAATGTTATGTCAGCAGTGCTCTCTATTAGATTTTTTGCTCTTTGTTGTTGTTTAGTCATTAAGTTGTGTCCAACTCTTCGTGACCCCATGGACCAGAGCACGCCAGGCCCTCCTGTCTTCCACTGCCTCCCAGAGTTGGGTCAAATTCGTGTTGGTACCTTCAATGATACTATCCAACCGTTTTGTTCTCTGTTGTCCCTTTCTCCACTTGCCCTCACTCTTTCCCAACATCAGGGTCTTTTCTAGGGAGTCTTCTCTTCTCATGAGATGGCCAAAGTATTGGAGCCTCAGCTTCAGGATCTGTCCTTCCAGTGAGCACTCAGAGTTGTTTTCCCTCAGAATGGATAGATTTGCCCTCCTTGCAGTCTGGAGGACTCTCAAGACTCCCCTCCAGCACCGCATTCAAAAGCATTTCTTCGGTGGACATCTCTCTTTATGGTCCACCTCTCACTTCCATACATTGCTACTGGAAAAACCATAGCTTTGACTATGTGGACTTTTGTCAGCAAGGTGATCTCTCTGCTTTTTAAGATGCTGTCCAGGTTTGTCATCGCTTTCCTCCCAAGAAGCAGGCGTCTTTTAATTTTGTGGCTGCTGTCACCATCTGCAGTGATCATGGAGTCCAAGAAAGTAAAATCTATCACTGCCTCCATATCTTCCCCTTCTATTCGCCAGGAGGTGATGGAACCATGATCTTAGTTTTTTTGATGTTGAGCTTCAGATCATTTTTTGCACTCTCCTCTTGCACCCTCATTATGACGATCTTTAATCCCTCCTCACTTTCTGCCATCAGATTGGTATCATCTGCACATCTGAGGGTGTCTTAATTTTGGCTTGGGATTCATCCAGTCCAGGTTTTCGCATGATGTATTCCTCCGAACGGTCAAGTTCCTCTAAAGGAGAACTTGACTGTTCGGACAGAGAGTAATTACTGTAGAAGTCTAGGCACCCTCATGCAGCTGGGTTGAGTCCTAGGTGACCTCAGCCAAGGCATGCAACAAACCCTCTTACAAGTCTGCCCTAAAAGATACTTGCTCAACCTTAGGAATGATCATTAAGAAATTACACATAAGCTTTGTAGTCCTTAGAGCCACTTGGCTTAATAAGGTAGGACTCAGTACCTTATTGTGGCCTTGCTTCCCCCTCAGGGTATTCCTAAGACGGCTTCACTGCTCACGAGACCAAAATATTTTATAATTATTATTTTTACTGAAAAAATATAGATTTATAGTTTGATGCAAAAGCATAGCATATTACCATTTTCAAGGCTTGATACAAAATAGAAATGAAACAATAATTCCCTTTAATTACAATAGCTCTAAAAATCCCTAAAATCTCTAAAAGCTTCCTTAGGGTAGGCAAAAGGCAAAAAGCCCCCCTTCCTTTCTTCCTTTTCTCCCTACATTCCCCTCAGTCCTTTACCTGCACTGGGCAGTAGGCAAATAGACCTAGAAAAACTATGATGGATAAAGATGGCAGAATAATCTCTGCACATAGTAAAAGTTCCTTTTTCAAGCTTCTTGGAACCACCCTTCTCCTCCGTCTCTCAAACTGTCATCCAATCAAGGCATACGGTTATGGAAACAGTCCCTCCTTCTCTTCTCACGAGAAACAGGTGTTGTTTTTCTCAGTCCATCTCCTTCTACGCCACAAGTGTCTGGTCTTCTTATCTCGTAATGGTTTGTCCAGGCCTAAAGGAAAACATTCCCACAGTCCTCTGGAAATACACTCCCAGCATGCAAAATCCTTCATACACAGAACCAATATGGAATCCATTTTACATTGTTCACAACTACATATCCCATCTTCAATACATGATTTAAACCACATAATCTGACCCATGACAAATGGTGTAAATGTACACCAACAGGAATTCAGCCATTACTTTGCATAATACAGAGCTGTTTTTAATATAGTTGCTGCTGTTACTGCTGAGATTCCTCGATTGGGTATCGTCCCACATATAGATTTCTCAGGAGGTAGATAAGGTGGTCAGGCACTCCCATTTCTTTAAGAACTTGCCATAGTTTGCTGTGGTCCACACAGTTAAAGGCTTTTGGGCTTTTGCATAGTCAGTGAAGCAGAATTGGATGTTTTTCTGGAACTCTCTGGCATTCTCCATAATCCAGCACATGTTAGCGATTTGGATTCTAGTCCCTCTGCCCCTTCGAAATCCAGCTTGTACTTCTGGGAGTTCTCGGTCAAAATACTGCTGGAGCTTA